AATATTTTTTGTAATTACATTTATTTGCAGGTAATTTAACTTGACCAAAAGCGAAATTTAATGTATTAATAATAATATCATAGTGTGTAAAGTGTATTAAGTCTAATATAGATACTTACATATTTAATTGTTCACATAGAAATATCGCAAAAATATTCGATCGGTTCTGTTCTTGATTAAAAACACTGTCGTTATCTTGATAAAATGGTTATTTGTTTCAATATTTTGAAAATTGTTATATTTATATGATTTATTTGAGGAGAAGGAAAAATAAGTAAAGCCTTATTCAATGAATATTTATTATTCAGTGTTTAATAAAACAGAAACATTACTCGACTGATTTTAATATTAAAAACATACGCAATTACTACTACGAAATTTACAGCACATTATATAATGATTTCTCTATCCATATTAGAACCTCAGTTTTGTATGCTAAAATAAACATTGAATTGCGTTTTATGAAATACATTGACGAAATCGTAAGAATGCATCCGGTTGTAGTATTGTTTTTTATGCGATAATATTGTAAAAATTTATATGGTAATAATTTTATTACTTCATTAATTACATTTTACAATTAAAGAATTTTATAATCAAATTCCAAATCTTATGTTGTAAATGTTATTATACTGAATGTATAATTAGGTTTATTATTTGAAATAGTAATATAGGTACAGATAATGATAACAAAATAAGTTTCATCGAAATGACAGTCCTGAAACATAAATTTAAAAAAAGTGTTATTTAACAATATAATTAAATTAAATTATACTTTACATCAAGAAATAAAAATCTTTTATTAGATATTTAGAGGAAGTACAAAAATATAAAGTCAAATAAAAGTGTAATATAAATGTTTTCACATGGACATATGAAATCGCTTAATTAATAGAAATAATATTAACATAGGTACGTGTTCAGAGTTTTCTGAGAAATTGTATGATTCAACAACAATAAATTATATAAATAGTGATGCCATCGTTAAATCTAAACAATCCATGTTATTCTCTACCAAGTAACTAGGATATATAATACGACTTGCTAAAAATCTTTAAAATCGTTCTTGTTAGTAATGTTCAGCTCGTATAAAATATTGTAATAAATAATTTTATATCCATAGATTAAATTTTTATTTACAGTCAATTCAAGAATTTTAAATTTTATATAATGAATTAAATTTTTATATGCTGTTAGTTAATAATTTATTAATTACTTTAAATTATTATTAATTTAAGATTAAGTTAAAATTTAGTTTATTTACTAGAGATTTTAGCTTAGTAAATAATACACATCATTGAAAAATTATCTAGAACTCTTTTTCGTACACATTGGTGACATTGGTAGTACTGAATACACAGGAAGTGTCTTTCTAGTTGACCACGTGACGTCTTTTCCTTTAAAATCGTGCTGTTAAGAGGTACGTATGGCCTGGCCCGTAACAGTTTTTGAATCTACCTGCATCTGCGATTTTACGTCAATAATCGTGGCAATACCACGAGATTCTTCAACATGTGATTCAAAACTGTTGTTTTATTGGAAAAAGGGTGAATTCGTTACTTCATAAATAATGATTGATGAGACTGAAAATCGCGTGACGGCAGGTCGGTCCGCGACATTTAGGTCGGTGAGTGCTGATGTGAGAAAAATTGTTAGCGAAATTTCTGTGATTCCAGAACGCAATGGGACGTTACTCTCACGAACCGGTTAATGCGACTAAGTCGTGCAGAGCACGCGGCTCCAATTTGCGAGTACACTTTAAGGTAAATAAACTGTACATCAATAGATCTAACCTTTAAGTTACAGTGTAGTGTGTTTACAAAACGTGTTATAACGATACGCTTTGTTGAATGTGTATTTATGTTCTGTTACAGAATACCCATGAAACAGCACGTGCTATTAAAAATATGCCTCTACGGAGAGCACAAAAATATTTGAAAAATGTGATTGAACATAAGGAATGTGTACCATTCCGTAGATTCAATGGTGGTGTTGGCAGGTGTACTCAAGCTAAACAGTTTGGCACTACACAAGGTACGTTTCAACAAATAAAGGTCGTTTTCTCAAAAGTATCTTTTCACTGATTTATTATTTTTTTATTTCAAATTTATAGCTATTAATAAACACTTCTTGTCTTAGGTCGTTGGCCCAAAAAGTCAGCTGAATTCCTACTGCAACTATTGAAAAATGCAGAAAGTAATGCTGATGTTAGAGGATTAGAGATTGACCGGCTTGTGATTAATCACATTCAAGTGAACCATGCTCCTTTCTTGCGAAGAAGAACATACAGAGCTCATGGTCGCATAAACCGTTAGTATCTACAGTTAATTTATTTTGAAAGGATTGTATTAGTAACTGGTTTTTAATTTAATTAACTTTGTCTGTTTCCATAGCTTATATGAGTTCTCCTTGTCACATTGAAGTAATTTTGACGGAGAAAGAAGATTTTGTTGTCAAAAGCCCAGAAGAAGAGCCTTCCAAAAAGAAACTGAGTAAGAAGAAACTTGCCAGGCAAAAGGAAAAGATGATGAGGGAGTAATTTTATATTCTAATTGGATATTAAATGTATCGTGGAAGATTAAGATTACACTGTTCTCTACTTTTTTCTGTGTTATTTATCACTGTTCCTTTATTCCTTTTTAGAAGTTAAGGGAGACAGTGGATGGAATATCCTATAGTATGTTCCTTCTTAATGAATATGTTTGGATGTCATGATTAGAGCTCCTATTAAATTTATTATTTCTCGAATTTTTATTCAAAAGCGAATATGATTATAATATCTGAATATTTAAATAAGTTACTTGAGAATCAGTATTTGAACCTAAGTTTTCAAATTCACAAATATTCGAGTATTCGTAGATCCGAGAAATAGTAAGAGGTTTAATGAGAAACTTTTAATTACAGTAATCTACAGATGTCCAAGCAAATTATCATTTCGTCAAATCATGTTCCAAATTCTATAACAAAAGGAAAATTCAGTTGATTGGTTCGAGGGTTTATCAAATAGAAAATAAAATGAAGCAGTTAATTTATCTGTGTTTAAGTGTTTGTTTTATTATGTTTCACATAAGACGAAAGTAGAGGGATAATATTAATTACAGGAAGTTGCGTGAGTATTTTTCAGAAATACTAAACTTTATTGTTACATATTTTTTTATATTTCAAATTCTTGCAACCGTTACATATTAAATTAGAAATACATAGGAGTACACAATGTACAACGGTAATTGACGCGAATGAACGATGAAACATACAAAAGTACGTAGTAAAATATTACCGAAATATGAATTCTACTTATAAGTGCTGTATCTACATTCCACGTTTAGTATCAGTACATAAAATCCACACGCCCTGAACTTTGAATATTTTGTCAAGTGTTTAATACTTCGATAATACATAGAAATACTTTGAACACTTTACTGTCTTATAATGAAAGCATCGTAAGACATCGAACTCGCATTTTAACACCATTCTTTTTTAAATTATGTAGCCTGCTATAATGATATCTATCCACTAAAACTTCTATTTTATCACCTAGGTACTTATGTAAATACCTGGTTTCATTACTTGGTATGTAAAACAGGAATGTGTGGTTCGATTATAGCAATACTGGTGTTTGTAATGATCATTCATAAACTAAATGCGTGTAGATACATGAGCGTGGGCGCGCCGATTTAACACGTTTAAAATTTTTTTTCAAAGATGTATACATGACTGTACATTGAATTAGTTTCAATAGAATTCTCCACTGGTGTCAAGAAAGTGGTTCACGAGTTGTGTTTGGTAAGAATAAGCACAGTAATCCTCCACCTGAAAATTAGAAACAAATCATACTGTATTTTGATCTGAAAATATAGACGAGGATTTTTAAGACTTAGTTAAAGCCCTCATAATCTGTATAGTTTCTTTTTAATTTACTTGACAGTTCAGACATATGCTTTCTCAAAAATATAAATAGAATATAAATGAATATAAAGAAATAATAGAAAGAATATAAAGAAAAGAATATAAATGTATTCATTTTAGCGATACAAATACTTGAACAGGTATTCGCAACTCTTTCCTTAAAAGAACCAAGTTAATTAATAAACATAGGATTGAATATTATCAAGTAGATTTAAAAACGTCTTATTTGATGTAACAATGTTGAATAATTGATTTAATTGTACCCCAGAAAACATTTAAAATCATTTTTAACATCATTTTTAAACGTTTTCATTTTTATAGAAGAAGCAGTATTCAAGAATTCCAATCGCAATTGTTGCGTTCGTAGGGTGATTAAATGATCGATCAATAATTGTGCGGGTTAGTTCGCGAATTCTGCTTATCGTAGATTTTTTTTTCATCAAAGAACCAACCAATTAGAAGAGCAGCAACGATGAAGGTCGGCGCTGGACAGTACATGTCCAGGAGTTGAGCTATTACGATGTTCCCGATAATACCACCGAGACGTGCCGCGACCATGGAAATAGCAATTCCGGTCGCACGTAGATGGGTAGGGAAAACTTCGGTTATTAGACAGTCCAGAGCTGCATTTCCACAGCTTATCACACCGCTGAAGAAGGCTGACACGATCAAATTGTGGTGCTTGTTGTACACAAAGTACAATCCAATCGAGCACAACCCTGACGAAAGTGTACTGAACACTGCGGGAAGGGTATCGTAAGTGTGTCAGCATTCAAGAATCTTTATTCTTTTCCTCTTTGTCTTCTGTTCTTCAACTATTAGCTTGATGCATATGAAACTACCGTCATGAATGAGAAGGCTTGAACGAAAATAATTTACTTTACATATACATGCTAAATACTTGATAAAATTCATATAGAAGTAAAATAAGTATAAAAGAATATATAGAAGTAAAATAAGCATGAAAGTATCTATAGAAGTAAAATAAGTAATTATGATAATAATTATTCATTTATGGATAATAATATCATAATCATTTATGGATTTGCAGTCAATTTTAGTATACCTTGATAAAAGTTTCTTTTTTTTGTATAAACTTTGAATATTATTGCTCAAACTTCAGATTAAATAAAAATGTGTTAAAGAAGATGAAGTGAATATGAAGGGTAGAATAAAAGTGTATACAATGAAGAGATCCTTAGTACTGCACACACAATTCGTGTTTGAAAGAATCGTTACACATCTGCGAATTGCAATTTTATATGCATCGAGTTAATAAAATTGTGTTGAAGTTCAATAGAAGATTTTAATCGAGAAAAAGAATGACAATCATTTGAAATATTGAAATATATGGAAATAGATTTGATATTATATTACTTACCGAGGAAAAATTTGCGACCGAGTCGGTCCATTCCCAAAACAGCGATGATATTTGCAGGAATTGCGGAGGCAACAGTGATCAGCGACTCCAAGAAAACGGAGGCGCCGATTTTATCCGAGCAAAGGTTCTCGATATTATGAGAGCCTTTTTGAACCACGTAATCGGTCACTTGGCATATTGATGCGATCTCACCGGGATGATCGCGATGGAACTCGTCGAAACGGTTGAACAGCTCGGGGAACCACATCATTAGGCCGTAGTAACCGATGTGAAAGGTAAAGTTGATGATGATGGAGATTATGGTGAAGCGAAGAATCGGCGAGATGAATAGCTGTTTGCTGTTATCTACGATGTCACTGAGCATTGTCTTGCATTTATTCTTTTCGACACCGACTTTCGTCGGTTCCGGCTCTTGGTAGTCATCGAGGATTAGTTCTTTCACCTGCCGAAACCAGAATACTGATCCTCATCACCTTTATTCTCGATAAATTAAAGTCTATTTTTAGGAGTTTGCATAAAGATATAGGCAATAGAAAAAATGCTTTATTGAGAAGTTAGAAAAAAATGTAAGAAGTGTTAAAAGATTTCAGAGAAGGTTGGTAAAAGTGAAGTGTAACTGTGTGTTGCTATTAATTCAATTTGAACGTTTGCTAATAGTTGATACATACTTACCGTGTAACTTTCACGTGATTTGCCAGTGTTAATGGCATAGATTCCGCGGAAGATGTCGAGCGCTTCCTCGTATCTTCCGCAGGACAAGAGGTATTTAGGGGATTCAGGGAGCAGCAGGAGCAGCCCCGCGACGATAAACGACGGAGCAGCGCAGATCAGCAGGAAGATTCGCCAAGAATTATATGTGAATGTCGAACTCGCAATGCCAATTTGATTAGGGATGATCAACCATGCTAGGCCTGAAGAAATTTAGAATTTACCACTTTTTTAATAGACGTATCTAAAAGTTGCAATGAAAAGACTATTACTTCTATTGATTGATTGAAGTAGAAAGAACATATTAACCTTTAGATATTGCAAATAATTCGTAATTTATATCATACATCGATTTGAAATTTATAATTTCATACATTTAAAGTTAGTTTATCAAATATTTTGGTGCAACAATATGAGTTCTGCTTACCAGCGACAAAAAGGTTTCCAAGCGTCCAGAATGCTGCCATAAAAGACAACATCGAGCCTCTCTTAGACTTCGGCTGGAACTCTGCGAAATATGACCAGATGACAGGTCCACTACCTCCGAGGCTAAAAAGGCGAACAATTCATAAAATATCGTAGTTACGAAGTTTGCAACTGAACAAATATTTTCTACAAGTATTGAATTGAACAGAAAGTGGCTACCACCCTCTAGGCATTCTGTATAATGACATTTTATAGATTGACCGAAACTTGTTACGGGCACTTTACACAATGTCTTTTCAAACGGCCATTCTACACAATGCCCACGTTGAACACATTGCCCGTAACATACAGATGATTCCGTCACTTACGCAGCGCCGTTAAGGAAACGGAAGAACATGAAGAGTTCATAAGACTGGCTGAAGCTGGAGGCCACGATGCAAAGTGCGTTCGCGAACGAGATGGCGATGAGAACCTTTCGACGACCCAGGGCATCCGCGACGGAGCCCCAGGCGTAAGCGCCGGCCATCATGCCGATGAAAATGATCGAATTCAACCATCCCTTGGCTTGCGTGTCGAGTTTTAGATCACATTGTGCACTCGGCAGTATGAAGGACATGGAGATCACGTCCATCTCCTCGCTGGTGCTGACGAAGCCGCATACCGTGAGGAGAAAGTAGTGGAACTTGCCATAGTCTGAAGGAACACCAAGTGGAACCAATAAATGATAAAAAAGTTTCCCTATTTCCGAAATATCGGGTTTTACATGAAACTCCCGCCAAACTGGTGTGCAATTTATCTTTTGTTCGTGATAGGAATATATTGGGATTGGAGGGAAAGTCCGGTAGACAGAGGCGAATCGAATGGATTACAGGGTGAATCGAATAAAAATAAGAATTTAATCTACATTTTTCATATCGTGTGTTATATTTCTCACTTCTTGTTTCTTATTTGCCAAAGGAAGATTTAGAGGTTCTTCACTTTTTATTATAATGCGTCAGTGTTTTTATTCCTTTATTGTCAAAGAGAAGACCATTCGATTCGTCTCGGTCTACCTTAACATTTTGAATGCCATGGGGGTCACCGGTGATCCCCGACCAAATCGAATTACTATAGTTCACTCAATTAAACGATGATTATATGAAAACATTTCTATACTATAAATAATGCCACCTAATACGGCGACATACAGCTAGTTCAATGTGTAATAATCATAATGCAATTCAATCAAACGATTTAGTATTATATTTTTTCTATTGTGTGTATTTTGCTTTATAAAATCGTGCGCCGTTCAACGTGTTAATTTCTTTTTCTATGTACGTGAAATTGATGATTTTTTGAGAATAATGCAGTGAGTAGACACGTTACCGGTAAGTTCGATAGCTTTCTCGAAATCTGCTTTATCGTAGGATCCTTTCTCTGGATCTAGGGTCTTGCCCTTTGTTCCAATACCTGCACAAAAAGGAAAATTAACAAAATTCAAGAGTTCGTCGAAAGAATGATTAATTTCGACTAATTTCTACTTACGGGCAAGTTCGAGATCCTTGGAGCCACAGCCGTTTAGCCGCTCGTCTTTTACATCACACTCTGAAACAGGAAAGTTCAATAGTCGCGTATAAATTTTAAACACTGCTCGAATTAACACCTGAACTTGCAACGCGTCAACTAATCATTAACTTATCGGTTCGCGTTTAAGGAAACTATTAACCTTCTCTCGTGAATTTTGAGGGTTCGTTAACTATAACAGACGTTCTTCGGGTCAAAGCACTGTGATTCTGTCGAGTTGCGAATGAGGATTAGTTTAGAATTGGCTTAGCAAGAAAAAGGCGGTTGCACTCATTAAAAATTTGTCAATCGATGATCAGGCCTCTGTGAGACTGGAATCATCGAAATCACTCCCTGTTTTGTTGATTCTCTTTGTTATTTTAGACAAAGAGTTCATAGGACTTTGCTGACACCAGGAAATTTTCTTTTAGGCCCTTTTCATGTGACAGGAGCTTTTAAACGAGTGTGTATCTAATTTGTCACTTCCGAAATATAGTTTATTTGTACTAGTTTAGTTCTACTATTTTTCTTCTTGTAAATAATTATTTGAAATGAAGTTGAAGTTTTCTGCCTTAAAGGGAGAACGGACATATTAGGACCTTCTTCGCATGGAGAACCTTTTCTTCAGAATCCACAGTGTACGAATCGCCAAAACTACTTTATTTAACTTCAGTTCTTATAGTTGAACGATGAAATTATAAGATACAAAACTCCAATAGTCGAGTAACGTATTTTTCGCTTGAATTGATAAGAATCTTTAAGAAACTGATCAACCGAGTAGAATAATATCTCAGTATTAATATAGAGCGTGATATAAGAGTTCGGATGTTAAATATTCGAATGTTACAGTAAAACATCTGCAGTTTAGTGAGCAGGTATGGTGAACGTTACTTTTGTTTCATTTGTTCTATTGAAGTCATCATTCTTCATTCTCTTCGTTTTTCTTTGTTTTCGATAACAATTGGGAAATACGTACTATAATTGTGCTTAGAGCCAGGTTCACTCTCTACCATTCTACGATATCGGCGCAGTTGGGTGAATCTGGCGTGGTGATAGGGTCAGCTAAGAAACCTTCGTTCTCGATGATGGGCTTCGATCGATATTAAATTGCTCTCGTTCTCGCGGTTTGCTGGATCTCGGCGAATTCTTCCTGCTGAATCTGCGCTGATCTGCTGCTGCTCGTCGGCGGGGCTAGGTTCTGCGCTCACTTGCGAGCTGAAACATGGCGCAAAATGAGATCTATCGTTACATAACTGAAAAAGTGACGCTTATGCTGGCGGTTGCTCATGGTCAGTCGGATTACAAAATTTTCGCGAAGACATTGAATGCTATACAATTCATTAAAATTGTGTGATCCCGTAAAAATACACCAGCGACCAGGCAAATGGAAAATTATGGTACGATGTTCAATTCGTTTTATAATAGAGACATTCTTGCATTCAATACTGTTCATTCAATGCTGTTCATTCAATACTGTTCATTCAATATTAACTGGTTAGCATTAATGTCTTGTATATGTGTTGAGACAACCAAACATAAAGGTGGTACATTTGATACTATCATTGTCTTGTATAAAATTCTTGTATAAAATCATTGTCTTGTTGCTCTTCAGCACTAAATTAAAAAATGACACTTATGTTTTAGTATTTATATATCTATTGAAAATAATGTTTAAAAGTTCATAATATTTAGAAGATTTCGATGTACAGAAAATGTTTCTGTTAGTAGTACAAAAGTATGACAAACTTAGGATTGCCTGAAGGAATTTTTCTATTTTATATGATGTCTCGAGGCTTGCAATTAGTCTTTCTAGGGTCCAAACTGACGTTACTGAAAAATAGATAACTACGTTCCCTTATGAATTTCACAGGAATTACTGAAACGATGATTAAAAATTAAGAAAAACAACTAACGAGTTTTACTAGTAATTCCTCAACATTAGGAAATTAGAAATCAACGAATGACCGATATCTATGGTTGCCATTTTCAATAAGAAATATAGTAAAGAGCTTTTCATAGTGCCTAGGATAGTAAACTAGCTTTAAGGGGGGAAATACCTTTAGACGGATGAAAACGAGCTGATCTTCATGAATTTTTTTGTAAAGGAAAGAATTGTTTTACATTTTTGAAACTTTGGTTATCATTTATTATATTCTTTCTCTATTACAACGTATTTTTTGTTTTTCAAAATATTTAAAAATGGCGGAGTTATGTCCCTGTTTTTCGGGAAGGTTGTGGTGCAACTTATTAAATGGTGTAAGCTCTAGCATTGGCTACACTGATTTGAAACAAACCAGCAAGACATATTTCGATAACTAACACTTACAGTTTGTAGATGAACCTAAAGAAAGTGAAAAATATTGAAAATTGAAAAAATGGCACGCTTTTAAACAGAAACTTTGAATTTTACATGAAATTTTCTCTATATTTTGCAATAAAAAGGTACTTTTATTTACCATTTATTTCATATCTCTAGGTTCATATAGAAGACAATATTGTTATAGATATGTGTGCAAAATTTCAGCAAGTTGATTGAGTAGTTTTTGAGTTATTGATTCCACCGATTTCGAAAATGTAATTTTGAGATAAACACGTTCAAAGTTTCGATAAGTGATAACTCAATAATTTCAATGACTTATCAGCTAGTCTGCGATTCCTGCGCCATACAATGTTCCTTCTGTTTCCTCATAGAGCTGATTTTCCTCCATACGTTGCTCTCTTCTTGCTTTTCGAGCCTCTTTGGTAGTTAATGAGGTGCGTCGCTTCTGTCGAATTACTCTCTGTTCGTCAATTTTGTCGGCGTATGTTTTTGCTTGTTTTCCAATTACAATATTCAAAGCACTCATAGTTCTTAAAACTGAAGTATATCCTTCGTTAAATAAGCCAGCTGCCAAATATGCTGCAATTTCAATAATTTTTATTCCTGAGTGCAGGTGCTTTGGAGCGAAGCGCCAAACAGTTGAGTTGAAACTCTCGTTATTGTTCTGAGTGTGTCCGCCCAAGCACCTCTCAAGTAGATTCTCTTCAGATAAATATTCGTAAATGGGTAGGATGTGCTCCTGCACGTCTGGATGTAGTGGTGCAGGATGTTCTATAAGGTCCAAATTTGCTCCTGTAACTAGAGCTTTCTGCCACTTGCACCAGCTGTAATTTCCTACCGGGCAGTATTCGTGCCTTGGATTTTCTTTGGTGGAGCATAAGTGATAATACGAGGCCATTATAGCTTTCTTCATATTTTCCACACTATGAATATTTCTTCATATGGCTAAGCCATAGTATGCGGTGAGTTTCCTGATAAGCGCATCAGTCAGCTTGCCTTTTCCACCGAGGTTTTTTGTTTTTTTTAATATTTCGAAGCCGGCTGTATGATACTTTTTCTTGTATAACGCAAACAATGTAAAGTAACATGTTTACAATGATTGAAACGAGGGAATTATGAAAGGCGGATCCTCCGCTTCGAGCGCGTGAATATATACCTGCGGTGGGCTACCGCCTATGAGTCCCGATTATGGGGTATAGCATCAGAAGGGCTCCGAATTTCGCTTTAAAACTTTGGCACCATACTCTTAAGATGTTATACTAACATCCTATAGAAAAAAAAATATTGTGATTTTTTAAGGTTCTAAAGGTATTTCCCCCCTTAAATACTCATGTTCGTATTTCTTTGAAATATATCCAGCAAGAAAAACCATTAAACTTTGGAAACTTGTTCGACGCAGGTTCTAAGACTCGTTTCTCTTGTAATTCCATATTTTCTGCTATTCACCATGTCCATTTTTATCGACTAAAAATTACTTTGGACTCGAAGGCATAAATAATCGATCGCGAATAGACGTTGATCTTGGATCGAGGAAGATTAAGAGTCGCGTTTATTTGCTTTTACATCGAAACGCATGATCCTACGACTGGACGAGATCACGTGCTAGAAATCAATATCGGCGGGTTAAGTAGGGCTAATTTGTAATTGCACTGATAATGGGCGTGGGTCGTAACGGTCTGAAAGGCAACGATTTGGTAGTTTCCCGACGTCGAAGATGACAATAGAGTCTGTTTACAAAGCGACTACCGAGCGAGACGTGATTCGCATCGACGAGAATTTTATCATTCTCCATGGGCTAATAGGATTGTTATTGCAACACAGTGACACGGAGGGAATTAAGCCTCGAAAAAACATGTCGAAATTTTAAAATAAAGAATTTTGAACCTATTGTTTACTCAACTATACTGTTCATTTCTGTTTAAAAAACAATCACAGTAATGAATTTCATAGTCCATTCCTTGTTTGAATAAATTCATTAATTAAGGTGTTAATAAATTCTTTTTGTGAATTGATGTTTTTGATATAAAAAGCGGATTCATGTTTTCTTTTTAACTTTTAAGGAAAGTTAATTAATTGTATTGAAACAATAGTGATAATTTATTCCTAGTTTCTTGGCCCATTTTGAACATTTACAATAAACGAGTTATGATTTACCATTTTTTGTCGAATACGAAACAAAGACCAAATGTTATTTTAATTTTTTGTCTTGGACACTATTGTACAAATCACTTCACACTACTTGCAACTTGAAACAGTCGCAAATATTTATCACGTAAAGGAATGATGACTGTCTTTTTCTTTGCTTAGTGGTTTCATGTCCAGCAAAAACTTGTTACGTGCTATAATTGTCAACTACGATTATTAATTACTAAATTACCATGCGTATGTAATTTACACTTTTAGCGGGACGTGCGAAATTGTAAATACTGCATGAAGCTATTATTTCTCAAAATACTCCATACGTTATTAGTAATCCTTATAAAGTAATTGAAATTATTACTTATTATCACATTTTTATATGTCATTATATTTTTCACGAAAAACCAGAATATTATTTAGGGTATTTTGTAACGAGTGTTTCAAACAGCAGAAGTTTACTATTAAGTTAAATATTCATTATGATATACGATTTTTTACTTGGGCGTCATTCATTTTGTAATTTAGAAGAGAAACAAGACACGTAAATTCGTCCAGTTTCTTAAGAACTTATTAGGGAAGACTGAATCTATTACGCAGCAATCAGATCGTATTTTTCAACGTGACATCGCCCAGATACATTCAGTATCTCTACAGTGAAAGAATAGTTCTTGATAAACGCATTGAAGTCTTTCCGCGATTAATGTTATCTCTTCATGTAAATATTACGAAGAGTTTTTGAAATGAATCTATGATATTTGGGAATGATGTGAAAATGATCTCAGTTTCATTATGGGATATCGAATAATCATATTTGCACTCTTTGTATAATTCGTTTCTTGAGATGAATTTTTGAAGTTATAAAAATCAAAGGTAAACGTACTGAATATTGATCAATAAAAATTTTATGTTACATATACAGTACAGTATCAGCTATTTTTGTAAACTGAGACTAGTTGATGTTGGATGATCAGTAATTTTTCCCCGATGCTTTATTTTGACTAGATATTAGATGTTTGTATAAAACTTAATGAATTCAATATAAGTAAATGATTTATATCTTTCTATAATACTTTTGTGATAATTACAAGTTTTTAAGGAAATGACTAAATTGAAACGGTACGGTTTAATTTAGTACCGTTTTGTGGATGCTCCTAATGTAATTGGGCTATGATAGACTGTACCGGAATGAAATAAAAATTTGTTCTTGCATGAAATCACGAAGTCCCGACCTTGATTCACAGATGACTGCACCCGTTTAACACATAAATAGAATACGCTGCGATCGCTTTAATTATTACGTGTTCCCACAATTCTATTATGTTCGATGTAATGATCCGATGCACGTAACCGACTATGTGCGCCACCGTGTTTCATATTTTTCGTTACCATGTATCGAACAAAATTGCGTGAACCTTGAAGAACGCATTGCCATGGACGACTAATCGAATCATACGTGATTTGTTAAACGATTTACAATGGAATTTTAAGTACCGTTGGAAAGTAAAACACATTTAAAACATATTATTAAATGATGAAACTTTGAAGATTTTTTAAATACCCTTGATACGTTCAGAAATGTCGAAGCGTTATTTTTACAACAAAATTATACCGTGAAAACATGAAAGTTAATTAGTCAATAGAATATTTTCTTAAGTTATATAAAGAGAACAAAATAATTGTTAAAAATACTGTGAAATATTGCTTGTAGATGAGACTATTACATATATTATCTGGTTAATAATTGATTAAGAATTAATGATAAAAAAAATAAAATAATTGATCTTTTTTATAGAAGATGGAATGGGAAATATGTAGAAGATTTAAAATAAAATGGAAAAGAGAAAAAAAAGAACTCATCGACCGTGACAGGACTCGAACCTGCAATCTTCGGATCCGAAGTCCGACGCCTTATCCGTTAGGCCACACGGTCGTTGAAGGGTAGTTTTCTGAAATTAGTATTTGAATACGGCAAAATCTATTGCCCCTGCTATCTTTTCAATATTAAATAAACTCAATGTGCAAAAGTTTAAACAAATCGTTCACAATATTACTTCGCAGAAATTATTTATTATACAGATCCTATTGTAATAATGAATTTGGAACACGTTATTCGTTAAAATAAAAATGATTTCATATTCGATGGTCGTTTTAAATAATTTAAAGATTATTGTTATTATTTTAGCATAAATATTTTCATTCTTAACAATTGTTAAATATGCATAGAACTCAAGTGAAAATTGTTATGAAACTTATCGTCATGTCACTTGTCAAACTTATCAATGAACGATTTTGTAAAATTATTTATTGAAATTAGTAAAGCGAAAAGGTGAGTTTCTCATTGTAAATGTCTTTAGATTTAAAATTATAATTTTAGTTTTGAATACGAGAGCAATTTGAATATTAGAAACACTTTTGAAGTGAATGTTTAGGGGACGCACTAAATAATATTTTATTTTACAATATAATGTCACGTATATCTTAAGGACTCGGTGGAGTTTCTAAGTTTTATGCAAGGATTTACAGATGGCGACACAAATTCCAGAAAAATATCAATTCAATACCTTGGCCAGTTACATTACAGACCCTGAAGTCTCAACGATATAATTGACAGGGAGGCGTGTCGTAGCTTAATGCCGTTCTAGAAAACGACTGAATATTAGCAGACATTGACGGACATCCTGTACCAAATACTCGCTAAGGAGGCGATATCACGCGCGTCTCTTTGAAACTTTCCGCGAACTATGCGGATCACGATCATCTGAATTATCTTTGGTACAATTATGCGGAAGCGGAGCTGGGCAAATTTGAAATTCGCATAAAAACCATTTAACAATGATGAATAGCCTCTTTAATCGCTTATTTTTCATTCAACGTAAATGCTAATTAGAAGAATGCGAAAATTATTAATATTAGTAGCTTCCACTTTGAAAATTGTCATGGATAACAAAAGCAGAATCGCTAAATTTATTATTAACACGAATGCCACATGATTTCATAGAAAAAAATATACAAAATGGATAAAATAAAATATTAAATCATTCGATTGAATTCGATTACTATCATTGCACGTTCATCTAATTGAATGTCACCGCATTGGGTAGCATTATTTATAATATAGAAATGTTTGCCAATAATCATCGTTTAATTGATTGAATTATAGTAATTCGATTTGCTTGAGGGTCACCGTTAACCCTCATGGGATTTAACGTGTTAAAACAGTTTCGAATAATAATAAAAATTCTATTTGTTTTTAGTAAACTTAAACAAATACTAACCATGAATTAAAATATTTTTTCATAAGTGAAAGATGGTTCATCTCGGCAGCCACTATAAATGTTAGAAATGCACATGTAGAAAGAACGTATTCAGCATGTTATGTTGTATAGTTTTCAAAGTTAATTTTAATGCATATATTAAATTACACGGTTTCAAAACGGAAATGATGTAACTGTAACGTTGAAGATTATACTTAAATTACGTGGATAACTTATGAACATATGCAGAATAACGAATAAATTATTAATGAGTTACTGACAGTTTAAGTAATATTGAAATACTCAAAGTTGTATTTTCTAATAAGGAGATTAAAAAATTAATTTCGAAGCTAAATTAAATTTATTCTAGAATTCACGTTGCCTAATGTTCATTTTTATCTGATATACGAACCAGAAAACTGTATTACTCGCAGAATGACCCAATATGTTCTGACGCGATGCGGATTCTTCCGCCTGGCACTAACGCGGATTCTTCTGCTTAATGCTAAAGTGATGCGGA